GCCGTTGAAGAGTTCCATCTATCCACCTTCTGGCCTTGGCATCAGATCAGGTCAACAATACCGAACCACTGTACTATCAACGGAAATAGAAATACTTGCAAAGTTTCAAGTCAATATGACAATTAGAAGTAGGTTAAATTCATCATTAGTTGTTTTTCCACCCTTAGGGGTGGTATTTTTTTTTTAAATTTAAATGGGACCAATCTGGAAGTATACCCTTTCAAACGACATAAAAATTGTCCAAATCGGTTAATAAATGACGGAGTTCTGAGGTAACAAACATAAAAAAAAAAAAAAAAAAAAAAAAAAACATACAGTCGAATTGAGAACCTCCTCCTTTTTGAAGTCGGTTGATAACAAATTATACTTACACTCATGTACATTGTACATATTTGTATGTATGTACTTACAATTTAGTCGCACTTTTTATAGCCCTTCACAAATTTGAAGGGCCCGGGTTAAGTGCATAGTGCTTGGTAGCGGTAACAGTTACGACCCGAGGGTATGACACAGTTGTTACGCACGTTTCATTTTATAGGGCTTATTTCTCCAACACATACGTTACACAAATAATATTTTAGTGAGGTGAAGTTTTTAAGTATCTCCAAAGTTGACAATGGAACTAAAATAAATACGGAAATAACTTATTTTGATAACGTTGACATAACGATTACATATGTACGTCTTTTTCATACATTTCCTAGTTTTCTATTAGCGATACCAAATGTAGATATAGTAATATATATAACTGGGTTGATTCCCCATACAAACTTCCATCCCCATTTTCACCCCCTTAAGGAATGATTTTCGGGATTAAAACTATCCTATGTCCTTCCCAGGGTCTCAAACCATCTTCTTACCTTCTCTAAATCGTTTCAGTAGTTTTGGAGTCTATTCAGTACAAACAAACAAACAAAAAATCAAATCTTTCCTTTTTATAATACATACTAGCATTGCCCGCGGCTCCGCCCGCGTTCAGATGACCAAAAACTAAATTCTTAGGTGTTACATATTAGTATACTCTTACATTGCAGTTTTTGTATTTTTCCTCAGAAATAAGATATTTTCCCGCGGTAAAAAGTATCCTAGGATCGCGCGCTACATCGCCCGGTTTATATAGCTTGAGCAGGCGGTCGAGCGATGCGGGGCAGAGGGGATGGACTCGCCGTAGGCATCTCAATGCTCGCCAAGCATTAAAAATGTTTCGCTACTAATTACTTCTAACAACGATATCTCAAAAACTATTCATCTGATTGATTTAGTGTAAAGAGCAATTTTAATCTGCATTAAATGACTAAGCTAACTAAAATATTCATTTGGATAAGGATTAATACCGAACTAAAGAAAATAACTTTGAAAATAACGTAATGTTTTTAATTAAAAATGTTAACATAAAAGTGGTTATTGTAAGTCAACCGTAAGAGATAGAGATATGCTATCGCGGACTTTTTTGTAGCATTTTTATAGATTTTGAATTCTCTAGTACATTACTTAACTGTATCTTTGCTAGTTTACGCGGCGTTCGCGTGGAAAGTTCCCATTTGGCGAGATTTTTTGCGACCTCTTCAACATTTGTCGCCGTATTTCAGCTAATTTACATAAAAGCATAATAAATTATATACCTAAACCTTCCTCAAGAATTACTCTTTCTATTGTTGAAAACCGTATAAAAATCCGTTCAGTAGTTTTCGAGTTTATCGCGTACAGACAGACAGGAGGACAGACAGGAGGACAGAAAGACGCGGCCGGGGGACTTATTTTTATAATAAGTATAGATAGATTAGTATAGATAGATTATAGATACATACATACATATGTATTAAACTTATAATAAGCTATATTTACTCGGAATTCCACTTTCTTGAAATCTGTTGATCAACAATTTATATTGTACTGCATAAAACGTTGATTAATAACTTCTAACGTTTTGTTACAGAACAGCGCACCGATGTGGGAAGAGTTCATATCGAAGGCGACCAAACTACATTCCGCCTTGAAGTAAGTAGCTGTCTAAACAAAAATTACATTAATCAAAAATTATTGTCAATGGTATAATATAAAAATGAAGTAACTGAACGTTTTTATACATACAAGTGTCGTTTATAATTTGGGTTTGTTATATTTTATCGTGTAAATAACTTTTATTTAATGCTTAAATCAATCCTTCACTGAAGACTTATTTATGCAATGAACCCGAAGTATACGTAGATGAAATTTTAAGTTCGGAATAAATAAAGTTAGATGGTATACGTGTAGGTATTTATTAAACTAGATTTTAATTTATAAGTAACTAGCGGACCCGACAGACGTTGTCCTGTCTACACGTCTTTAATTTGAAAATTTCAAACTTTTTTTAATAATTTTTTTGATGAAAATTATTATTCAAATTGTGAATCTAAACCATTCCCAGATCCCCTTGAACACACACAAAAAATTTCATCAAAATCGGTCCAGTCGTTTGAGAGAAGTTCAGTGACATACACACTCACAGAAGAATTATATATATAAAGACTAGCGGACCCGACAGACGTTGTCCTGTCTACACGTCTTTAATTTGAAAATTTCAAACTTTTTTAATATTTTTTTTGATGAAAATTATTATTCAAATTGTGAATCTAAACCATTCCCAGATCCCCTTGAACACACACAAAAAATTTCATCAAAATCGGTCCAGTCGTTTGAGAGAAGTTCAGTGACATACACACTCACAGAAGAATTATATATATAAAGATAATCACACAATATATTTCTTCCCTTTTTTCGTATTAATTATTACTTAGATTCGCATTCTGTTAGATTGGAAATTAACAATGCTTTTGCTAACCAGCGTTATTGCTAATAATTTTACAGCAGGCGTATCCATAAATATGTAGTATAAGATTCCAATATAATATACTGTATGTATGTATGTTTTGCAATTTTAATTATAATATCATTTATTGACCGAGCGAACGAAGCCAGCGAAGCGTCTCTGCTTCAAGTCTGGCAAAATTTGCTTTCCTGTGTCAGTTTGTCTCTCCAGGTCCTCTACAGGTTGAACTTTACAACCGATCTGGATAAAACTTGGTATACCTATAGGTTTTACTACTTAATAGATTTTTTTGTCGCCGGGGATTTCTGGTTGGAGGGGTTCTTCCTCATAAAGGGGCAAAAGGGGGGCTACTGGATATCTCTGCCTTATGAGATCCGATTTCGATCATTCTTTTTTTATATGAAAGGTAGTAACTTTAAAGTGGTCTCATAAAAAATTGGTGAAGATCTGTCGAGGATCTTCGGCGTGATGAGCAGATAAGTTTCTCAAAATGTTTGTGCTCGCGAGGTCTATTGTTCGCAGCTGTATTAATTAATGATAATTTAGATAGACATAGGGTTCTCGTGGGATATTGCTATATTACAAAAAGTTATTGAAGAGCGCGTTGCTTGGAAACCTTGACTAAGCAATAACATAACTATCCCATTCCATAAAAATGTGTGTACATCTCTTAATGTGTAAAATATGTTCACAAATTAGCAAAATGCTTTGGCGAAACAATTTTTCTTTTTCGATCATGACCATCTTCATTTCTTGAATTAACGATTCTATAAATGAAAACAGCGCCATCTAGGAATGGAGAGAACAAACTTATTAAACTTATTTTAACTGATAAATCGTGACTAAAGTAAAATTTTAATTCATTATTTATTGCAATATACATTTTTAAGATATATACTTTACGGTTTTAATTTTAGAGATGGGTTGGATTGATTTGGTAACTAGACGTGTAGTTCGGGCTCATATGGCTGATAAACAAGTGTATTTCATATAGGTATTTTATTATATTTTTGCTTTTTACCCTCATTAAAACCAAAATTGTACTAAGATTGAGTTCGATTATTCAGTTCATAATAAAAATTTTTTTATGAAAGATGTTAGTTTGTAGCCATAAATTATTTATAGTATGTATATTTAGTATAAAAGATTTTTATTGTTAGGTCTATAAATTTAGATTTTTTTTTAAACTTCAGAATAATCGAACATCTTTTCGGATTTTACTAGAGACTAGTCTTTTCCTTGGCGATGATTAACGTAAACCAAAAGTCAAAATAATTCCGCGAAAAAATCCAGTTTTTTTAAATGTCAAATATTCGCATAAATCTAAGAAAGTATTAATTTTTTTGTTTACTTTTTAATTAAAAAAAAATATTATAATTTGCAAGCTATTTTGATAATAATAACATAAGGTATATAGCTTTTTATAACTTAGTTTTGTATAACTTATTAAGGGTACCTTTTGCCGTCTAATTACCGGGTAGTAGTTTTCGACTACAAATGTGATATGTAGGTATGTATAAATCGAAAAAAATAAATAATCCGTGTATCAATTATATCTGAAATTTGGAAAATATTGATATTTTAATACTTTTTTAAAAGAAAGATTATTAATAGAATATTGTCCAATTAAAAGTTGACATTATTTGTAAAATAAATTTGAACCTTTCTTATTTTAGGTCAGCATTGGTTGCGATCGCCGCTTTTCTAGACGCCTTTCAAAAGATAGCCGATGCGGCCACAAATGCAAGAGGTAAGAACTAATATTAAGAAATATCAAAATAACACTATAAAGTTCACTATAACATTTATGTTTAAAGCTTCACATTAAAATTAAATTATGATTATGCAGAGTTAGATCCACTTGGGTGAAAATTCTTGATATAGTCGAAATGTTTTAAATAGGTGTTTTGCAAATATCAAGTTTAATTAAATATTTAATAAAATTTAATTAAAAAATTAAAATTTGTACAAGTGATACTGTGTTGTACAATACAGTACAATAAAACCATAATAGTAAAAATTATTCCTTTAATTATTTTCATAATACGACAAACATATCTTACAACTATGACTCTTCTCTTTATTATTGTTAGGCATATTTACAGCTTCATATAAAATTATAATCTCTAAATTTATAATCTAATAATTAATTTTTGGTTCCACACTTACAAAATATGATTTCCAATCAATTTTTATTTATCACAGACTCTATCCACGGGACATATTCGTAAACGTTCGTATACACAGCTGGCGAGCCCTCGGTGCCACAAATACTCATACCATAGCTCACGACACCGACCACATAAAATAATTTATCGTATTCATACATCAAAGGTCCGCCAGAATCCCCTTTACAGGTGTCTTTGCCTTTTACACCTCCAGCGCAAATTTGTGATTTTGTGATCATATAGTCCTGTGTACCCTGACATTTGTCTAAGTGCACGTAAGGTAATATCACCTCGGATTTCACTTCAATATTTACACCATTATCTGTCCCCCATCCCGCGACTGTGAAGTTTGTGTATTCACCGAACGTTGGCAAAAAGTTAATTTTTGGTAGGCAGATAGCTTTAACGAAATCTGAAATTTGAATAATATAATTAATATATTTTATAATATTTATATTTCGACGATACATGTTTTATAGAGAGCCATTTACAAAAAATTGGCTATCTTAAAACTATAAGTAATAAGTACTAATAAAATCAAATATCCATACCTATGTATTATGTATATGCTATTTTATTAACATGATCTATAAACTCGTATTACTTATGTTTAAAAAGCTTAGATTTATAAATTATTTCTAATACCAAGTCTAAATTAGGTTTTGATCATATATGACATCACTCAAACTAAAAACAAAAAGGACGAGATGAAAATGAAACTAGATGCAAACGTCATAAAAACTTTTAATTTTTGGCTTATCACCAATTTTATCTAGACAAATATTTTTTGGATGAAATTTTGTTGATATTATTTTAACGACCGTGTCCTTCGTGTCCTACGTGACATTGGCAAAGTAATCTGTGCTCAACTGGCACGCTTTGAAGCCATTAACAGGAAAATTTAACCGTTTTGGATGAAATAAACAAAATGATTGAGAGCATATCGATCGAAGATTTACCAAAGATGCATCTTAATAAAATGGGGTAAAAAGGGGTTCGTTTTCTAGTCTAGACATATTCCCTTACTCAAGACATCTTAAGCGCACAGTTTTCGACGAAGTTATTGAACTTATTGTGATTTATAAAGTCTAGGATTAGGTTATAATCTCAACATTTATGTAATACATATGTACTATAGTTTTACGCTATGTATGTTTTTTATTGTCATGCATTATAACTTACTTCTGAAACTTTTCCCAAATATATATATATATATATATATATATATATATATATATATATATATATTTGGGTCGAGCAGTCGTCCCACCGGAGTATGAGAGTGACAGGAATAGAGAGTGCACTTGTGTCTGCGCGTACACTTGAGCACTGTAATATCTCCTGCGCAGTTGGTTAGTCTCAATGAGATTGGCCGCCGTGGCCGGAATCGGTCAAGAGAACATCATATATATATATATATATATATATATATATATATATATATATATATTTCAACAAAACAAACTATCACTCACCGCCGAATACTACGTCAGATACCATTTTAACGATCCCGATATCGTTCCGAACATCGATTCTACTGTAAAGAGGATGTCTGATAGCATTTTCCACTGCAATTCTTTTTTCTGTTATATAATCAAAGCCGCCTCCGTCTGTTTCCACTGAGTCAGTTGGTGTTGTGGTTTTATCATACTCGGCAAGTCTCACGTATGTGCTGTGGAAATAAAAAGAAAATATAATTTTAAATTAATTTACATAGTATATAATTGATCAACCCTTTTAGAATGCTTGGTCTTCAGAACTTCTAACCGGTGTATTTTGATTTATTTTGATTTTTGGTTCCCGACATTTCATATGTTAGCATACATGTATATAGCAATTATAATTACGGGAGAGACAGACGGGAGGACAGGTCTCTCCGAAAAAAGCCCCGAAAAGACAGTTTTATTTAAAATATCAAATATTTGCGTATAATCTAAGAAAGTATCAACTACATTCTTCATAATAATTTTAAAAATGAAAAGTGAAAGAGAAATAAAATTGGCTTACTTTAACAAAGTGCATAATATTATTTACACTAAAAGTGCCCTATGTGAAAGAAAAATTAAAAGTTCTAGCAAAAGATATATATGTGTACATATAATCACTTACGGCATGCCTAAACTTCCAGGCACACAATGTCCAGCAGTCAAGACAAATCTAGTGTTTATTAGTGCACCGCCACATCCATCAATATTCTCTTCCGTAGTAGACTGGTATTCAAGCAGAGCTAGCCAGGGATATTGGTCTATTCCGGTTACATTTCCACCTGCAACAGTAACTCTGTCAGTCTGTTTGCTACTTTACACGCTTAAACCGCCGCTTATCCATATTATGATTATAAAAGTGAAAGTGTGTTTGTATGTTTGTTTTTCTTTCTTTCACGTCGAAACATAGTGACGGATTGGCGTGATTTTTTGTGTGGAGAGTGAGAATACAGGCTACTTTTTACTGCGGGAGATTACCTCATTCCCACGGGAAAATACGTTATAATACGACCCAAAAAATATGTATGATCAGAATTACTTCAAACTTAGTATTAATGCTCTTCAATACAATTAAATATATACGTGTTTAAGGATTTTTCGAAATTCATCCCATAAGAGAGTAAAATAGGGGATGAAAGCTTGTATTAAACATATCTTTTTAGTTTTTTTTTGTACTTTTAGCGCGAGCGAAGCCGCGGGTTCTGCTAGTTTATCATAATTATCTCTATAATCTTAGGGATTTTTTTAACAAGTTTCTGATAGAATCGTTGTTCACTTATAATTTAAGACGCACATGGAATATTAAATTGTGTTTTATATATGACGTAATCTTCTATGCTAATTTAAAAAAAAAGTACCTGGGCCACCGAGCTTCGCTCGGAGTTTTTGGTTAAGAAGTACAATTTTGTTTAAAAAAAAACTAAAACTTGAATAAATAAATAAAACAAATATAAATTATACCTTTGTTTATCGGATACGACCGGGATTCGGGATATGATTGTCAATCTTGAGGCTTTTTTTAAAAAAAAACTAAAAACTTGAATAAATATTAAAAAAATAAAAGTAAACACTTTGTATGCTACCGTGATTCGAACCTGGACACCTGAAAACTCGAAAATACGCGTTTTCTCTGACATAAAACTAATCTAGATCGATTTATCACCTCCGAAACACCCTGTGTACTAAATTTTATGAAAATCGTTGGAGCCGTTTCCGAGATTCAGATTATATATTGATATATAAATATATATACAAGAATTGCTCGTTTAAATATATTAGATAAAACATAATACCGACTTACCAGTTATTCTGTTAGAACTTGCTGTATCTACACCACAATTTGAATTTTTGTTTTCACCAAGTATTCTTGTACCTAGACCGGTATTAAACGTAAATGATTGAGGGTCTGTTACTACTGGCTTGCTCGTTTCTTTTGTTGGTATGATTTCGGTTGTTCTTATAGAAGTATACACATTATCTGGTCCCGGAAATATAACTGGGCGCGGTTTGAAACTAGACCAATCGTCTTCAGAAGGGCAACAAACCTGAAAAGAGAATATATATATATATATATATATATATATATATATATATATATATATTTAATTTAAAAACGAATGTTATCAAGTGACGAATTTATACAAAACATCAATAACTTTTATAATTAAGATGAAAATTAAAATCTTTCGTAGATGACATAAAGACAGATGTAAGTACATATGTATATCTCAGTTGTTAAACAGAACAATAATGTTAAAACATATTATTTTTAAATATGTTGGGACATTAACACACAGCACCATTTAGTTCCATGGTAAGCTACGAGGCCTGCGTTATAGATACCAGATAGTTGATACACTACACATATATAACTTTACATAGGTACATACATACATACATATTATAAATATAAACACCCATGTCTGAAGTAAAACCATATTATAATAGATATACATACATATATTAAACATATTTTTTTTACTTAGTTAAATGTTAATGTGTATTAGTATATGTAACGAGACAAATACTCTTTCCCATTTATAATATTAGTATGGATATAGTATAGATGTCAAGAAATGGCGAATCGAGAGGTCATTGTAACTTAGTAGAACAATGTTGACTGGTCTTATTCCCACGAACGGAAGGATGGCGATGGCAGATTACTAGATATCTATTAGTTAATGTAAAACATTTGCGGTACTTATTATCTATACTAACATTATAAAGGGGCAGACTTTGTTTGTTTGTTTGAACGAGCTAATCTCAGGAACTACTAATCCGATTTGAAAAATTCTTTTTGCATTAGACTCCTTTTAATGAGGAAGGATATAGGCTATATATCATATAGCATATAGTCTATCCATTCCATACGAATGTTATAAAACGCACCGTACGTTAGGGACGAACCCGAGCGAATCGAGGGTGAGTCGATACTGAAACATATAATATGATATTTTCCTTTTTAAAATAGTGTCTGCCAGTCAGCAATATTTTTCTGAATACTTTACTATGTCCATAAAAGGGAAAATGGTAACGTAAATTATGATTGATGAGGCTTTATCCGCATAATCGCATAATGATATTACTAAAGACGTTCTACTTGCTTTTTAATGTGCGAGTCCGACAAGAGTTCCATGTCCCCATTATATATGTATATATATATACATACATATATATACATATATATATATATGTATATTATATATATATTTATCGCAAAATTAAAGCCGACCTGCACGGCTGCGAAGGAACTTTGTCGAATTATTATAGATTTGCTCTCTAGTTGTTTTGGACCGTTTAAACTTTAAACAATGAGTGTGTTTTATATATTTGGAAATAGTATAAACATATATACATGTACGTATGTTCATTTATAATTTTTATAGTCCCACTAAAGTGCACAAAGCCTATCCTTTATAAAATCAGGTTATTATAGTCCATCACAATGGCCAACTTGAGCAAAAGGTATGTGGGCTGGTGGAATTCGAACCAATTAGATTCTCTTATTGATATGCGGACTTTCAACTAATTAGATTAGATTCTTTCATTGTTAAGTTGTTTAAAAATTATTCCATTTTAACAAACTTTTATTAGCTTCAACTGTATCTATCTTTCTATCTATGTAACGGAATCTTTGAATGCGATTTTTACCCATTTCAAAACGTCAGATTCATTTGAAATTTAGCATACTTATGAAGAACCGTTGACAATATAATAATTAATAATTTAATTTATAAAAAAATAACAATTTAAAAAACTAAAATAAATTATAGTTTAAAAAACTTAAAAACACGCTTTCATGATGAACCGAATTAAAAAGTATAAATAATTTTTAGTATATATAAGAATAAAGTGATTAACGAGGAAATTATATTATTGTGAAAAAAGCGTGGGGAGTTTTATTCAATATTTTTATACTAACTCTACTTCTAGAAATCATATCAATAGAATATTTATAACAACTGATATCTTATACTAAAAATTAACAATCACCCTCGCTTCGCTCTAATGTATGGAAGTCTGCCCAATTTGTTGATATTTATGATTACTGCTCTCCTTGGGTAGTTTCATGATGATATATAGGCTATACCTTTTCTCAATAAACGGGCTATCTAATGCAAAAAGAATTTTTCAAATCGCATTATTAGTTTCTGAGATTAGCGCGTTCAAACAAACAAAATCTGTTTCTTTATAATATTTCATCATTAAAGCGCATTTTTAGTTTTTTAAACTATATTTTTTATAAGACATACCTTCAGCGCCGGGCTATCCGAATTCCCGCAAAGGGACTGCTGGATAAATAAATTCTCTAGACGGTTTTTATGTTGTTTCTTATATAGGATTTGTAATGGTGTGCATTTTGAGATGCTGATGCAAGTGCCCGCCCCGGCATTTGGTACTTTGCAAGCGTTATCTGTAAATAAATGATTTATTTTTAAATATAAAAGCACACTGTGTTCAAAATAATTTAAAAAGTAATTATTTCACCATTTAAGTTGACGTTTTATTTAATATTAGAGTTCGCTCAAAAATAAAACATATTAAGAAACACGACCCAGGGGGGTTGTCACAAAAAAAATCTCCAGGCGATTTTTAATTAATGAAATTTTTTAGAGTGCAAGTACTCTTTTACTGTGACAACTTAATATTCATCGGAAGAAAAAACCTGGAAAATGCCATCATACGTTTGGCGACCTTTTTCGAATCCACATTACCTTATATCCAGGTATAAAAGAAATGATACAGTGTTATTATATCAAAACATCTCCAGACTAGAGGTTTTTTAATCAAAAATAGACTAAAGCAAATTTTTTGGTGACACTTGTTGTGGTCTGGGTCGTGTTTGTTCATAGGATGTTTCATAATTAAAAATAAATATTTCGCTTAGTAAAAAAGTGAGGGGTCCACCACATAGATTGGGATCTTATATTAAAAGATTGACATTCGGGCATGTTAATCATTATTGAATTTTTTTAAATAATAATACTGAATTGTTTTGTTTTTACCTAACTCATAAAAAACTACCGTTTCCAATTTTTATTATATAAAAGCTCGTTTCTATTGTTAATATAAAAGCTCGTCAATAGCTACCTAAGCAAAAAAATAAAATAAAAAGAATACTCGATTGACAAACAGAGGAGAAAAAGGTCACTATACTGTTTTGTCTTTGCTAATTTATATATAGACTAGCGGCTCACCCTCGCTTCGCTCGGGTTCACCTCTAGAAAAGCACAAACAGATCTATCCCACGGGAACCGTCCATTTTTCCGGGATGAAAAGTAATCTGTTGTTTGACCGGCAATATAAGGTATCAGTATGCCAAATTTTACTAAATTAGGTGCGTAAGTTGTTGTGTACTAAGCTGTATAAGTTACTATAGTTTTTTAACTATCCCACCGAAACTCTTAAATTTTCTGGAATGAAAATTATCTTAGATGTTGACCGGGGATATAAGGTACTACCATGCAAAATTTCATTTAAATCGGTTCAATAGTTTCGGAGATTAGCCCGTACAAACAGACAGAGAAACAAAAAAAATTAAAAAAAAAACTGGATTTGTTCTATTTCTCTTTTTTCGCGATGTAAGAAGAGAACTGACTCGGTTTTTAGCATTTTTTATCTAACCAGTTTTATTACGTTTATGTATAGATAGAATAAATAACGTATAATAAAACAGTAATATATAATAATGAAAATAGTTATAGCGAGTGTACCTTAGGAGATAGACATATACTATGTAGAACTTTTTTATAGACTTTTTTAAGACTTACAATTTTCTTGCACAATGCTTGATCTATCTCTTAAGGTTGAGCCAACGTTAGCCATATAAATTTCTACGGACGATTCGATAGAACCAGTTATTGTGTTTTCCCGTGGGAATGAATAATTTGCCTGCCGTAAAAGGTATCCTAAATGTTGACCCGAGTACTAAGTTTTATCACTATACAAAATTTAGTTAGAATCGGTTGAGTACTTTTTGCGTGAAACGCGCACATCGATTTGACTAAAATAGTTTTATTATCCGTATAGATAAGAATAAAGATTGCGAGTGTAATTTAGGAGATAGACATATACAATTCAGAACTTTTTTGTAGGACTTTTCAAGACCTACAATTTTTTAGTATATTGTTTTGATGTATGTATGTCTTAAGGCTTAGCCAGCGGAAAGTTTCTAGGGAGGACTCGATAAAACCAGTTATCGTATTTTCCCGTGGGAAAGAAAGATTTTCTTGAAGTAAAAGGTATCTAGGCAGTTGTATCCCAGTGGTAACGCGCTCGTTTGGGAAACCGAGTGAAGCAAGTTCAAATCTCGGATCACGCACCTCTGATATTTTTATGTGCGAATCATTTCTAACACAATTATCACTTGTCTTAACGGTGAAGTAAAACATCGTGAGGAAACCTGCATGTCCGTCAACCTGCACTTGGCCAGAGTGGTGGACTATGGCCTGATCCCCCTCGTACTGAAGGGAGGCCCGTGCCCAGCATTGGGACGTTAAAAAGGGTATTGTACTGAAAATATACATAATACATACAAAAGGGATCCTAAATGTTGACTCGAGTAATAGTAGTAAGTTATCACTTCACCAAATTTCGTTGAAATCGGTACATTACTTTTCGCGTGAAACGCTCACGCAAAAACCAGACAAACAGAAATACAGGCAAACAGACAGACATTTTTTTTAATAACTATTGTTTTGGGGTCTATGTTGTGTACATAATACGTTACAAATACACAAAAACATCTATCCCAAAGGGAACAGTACATTTTTCCGGGATAAAAGGTAACCTATTTGTTATTCTAATATATGAACTATATATATTATTGTAAAGTTTCATCAAAATCCAATCAGTAGTGTTTGTGTACTAAGCTGTATAAGTTACTGTAGTTTTTGATTATCCCACGGAAACTCTTTAATTTTCCGGGATGAAAAGTAGCTGATTTGTTTTTGTCATGTATGAACTATATTATTGTAAAGTTTCATTAAAATCCAATTAGTAGTTTTTGTGTACTAAGCTGTATAAGTTTTTATAGTTTTTTAACTATCCCACGGGAACTATTTAATTTTCCGGGATAAAAAGTATCTAAGATGTTGCCCGGGGATATAAGGTACACCCATGCAAAATTTCATTTAAATCGGTCCAATAGATTCGGAGATTAGCCCGTACAAACAGAAAAACAGACAAACAGCTCGCTCGGGTTCGTCCATACCTACGAATATGTTGTATTATCTCTTTAACCATTTGTCCAAATTATATGCAGTAAAAGGGAAAAGTCTTTTGTTTTAAACAGTTTAGACGATAAATTTACTTATTTTAATAAGAATTCATAATTGTTGATAATATGACCAATAAACATGACCTACCGATTTGAATTATTTTTTTAATATAAAAAACTACTTTTTGTGACTTAAATATAAAAGTTAGACATATGCTGTCGCTGACTTTTTTGTAGGCATTATTAAGCTCTACAACTTTTCTCTAGATCATAATCATATATCTCTCATCGTTAAGGCAGCGTTCGTAAGAAACGTTTTCGTTCGACCGTTTTTTCTCCGACTTACTTTGCAAATCCGACTACCACGAAAAAGCATTTTCATTTTTCGGGTTAATATATAGCCTATGACACTCAGAAAGAACGTGGCTTTCTATTGGTAAAAGAATGTTGAAAATTGGTTCAGTAGATCCAGAGATTACCCCCTACAACGTCACAAACTCACAAACTCACAAACTTTACCTCTTTATAATATTAGTATAGATTTATATTATCCTAACCTTAAGCTCTAACTTTTTATAAAAAAAGAAAGAAATAAAAATCTTTTAATGCTTTCGAATATTTGACATTTTAAATAAAAGTACCTTTTTGAATTTTTTCGCGGATTTATTTTGACTCTTGGTTACTGACGTTTCGAATGCTTTAGGTACAGCAATCATGTTCACGGGAGTAACCGAATCGTAACGCGAAAAAAATCCGTAAAGATAGTTTTATTTGAAATGAACATCTTTTCACAATTAGCGGAGATATCGTGTAACACATTCAAAAACATGTGCAACCGAATTGGCTCTTTTTTGAAGCCGGTCAAATAAATAAGTAAAACAAAACAAAATGTGAAATGAGAAAGGAGAAACTTTTAAAGAAACAAGAAATCATTCGATTCGGTAATATTATATTAATATACAGCGATATAAATCCAGCTACGTTAAAGAATTTTGTATGAAAATATACCATTGAGGGCAGAGTGGTCAAAACTTTTTATGTTATACAATATGTATAAATAATATATAACATTTGCATGACATATGCATAATTATATTGTTAACTAGCTAAGACAAAAATAAACCTATCCCACGGTAACCGTACATTTTTCCCGGATAAAAAGTAGCCTATGTGTTATTCCAGACTATAATCTATCTTTGAGCCAAATTTCATCCAGATCCGTTCAGCCGTTCTGGCGTGAAAGAGTAACAAACATACATCCATACATCCATGCTCACAATCTTTCACATTTATAATATTAGTATTGACTAGCGACTTTTCCTCGCTTCGTTCGGGTTTGACCCTAGGTATGTTTTAACGGTTAGTATGGAATAGATAGATGTATTATTATTTTCCAACTTAAACTTGACGCATAGTTGTAGGTGGCAGATCGCCACTATTGAAAGTAATCTGAAGTAGTGATTCCCATACAAATTAAACAATTCTGAACTTTTCGATTTTCCAACTGTTCTATGGGTTTACCCTATTTTTTTATACCTAAATCACCCCCGACACACCTCCAACAAAACCAAAAAAAAAAAGAATGATTCAAACCGTTTTTGAGTTTTAGCGAGACTAACGAACGGCCATCGATCTTTATGTATATAGATAGATTAATGTAATTCAGTTTTAATTACAGCATATTGGTTTTTCGGTTTCCTCATTAATATAGACGAAAAAGAGAAAAATTATAAATTCTTTCACAAATAACTTATACAATATGTATATTGCATAAGTATGAACGCTTGAACTGATGTAATTGAATGCCCTAATCTCTGGATATACTGGTCCAATTTAAAAAAAATATATCTTTTAACGTTTTATAGCTTATTTATTGAGGAAGGTTATAAATTATTGGCATCTACGAGAGAGGAGTAACTCTACAAAATTAAAGGACGCAGGTAAAGCCACGAGAAAACACTACTTACTTTTAAAATTATTTAGAAGTTAATGTAAACTTAACTTAGTTACCGATCAATCTCAACTGACACTCACAAAAGCCACATGTTAAAGACTTGGGCTAAAATAAGTTTAATTATACTTAAATATTTTATTTGATATGATCTACAATTTTAATCTTAGAGTGGGTACAGTATAAAATAATTACATACAATATTCGTTTAGATTGTAGATTTTAATAATTAAAAAGGTTTTGCTGTGTATTTTGTATGCCTTTTTTTTATTCAGTTCTTTTGTCTAGTAGGTAGTAATAGTACTCAATCTATACTAATATAATAAAGAGGTTTTGTGAGATTTTGAGTTTGTGATGCTGTAGGGAGATAATCTCTGGATCTATTGAACCGATGTAGATGAAATTTCGTAAGAAGATAGTTTGAGACCCTGGAAAGGACATAGGATACTTTTAATCCCGGAAATTATCCCTTAAAGGGGTGAAAATGCTGATGAAAATTTGTATTGGGAAACAAGCTAGGGATGAACCCGAGCGAAGCGAGGGTGAGTCGCTAGTAGTATATATAATACTAGCGACTGACCCTTGCTCCGCACGGGTTCCTCCCTAGGAACTTTTTAACGGATCGTAAAGATTTCTCAAAGATGAGATATTTTCCAGCAGTAAAAGTGTCCTACATGTTGACCCACATAATCAGTTATCATCATACCAAATTTCATCAAAATCTGGCTAGTAGTTTTCTCGTGATGCATTTCCAGACAGACAGACAGACAGACAAAAATTCTAAAAACTATAATTTCGGCCTCTGTATCGATAATAATGACTATTTCGATAAGATTTTCCAAAAAATATTTAATGTACAGATTCGACGTATCGTATACTATGTAGGCTCCTATTTTATTTATAGCTGATATCATTTCTCAATATTTTTTTATTTTAAAACCTAGAGTAAATTAAAGAGTGTAAGAAAACATGCCAAAAAAGTAAGGGGTCACAAAATTGTATGAAAAATACCAAAATTTTAAACAATTTGAGCTAGAAATGATTGTTTTCCAAATGGTATAACTACTTATGTGTGTCAAAATAGTATCGTTTTTTTTTAGTAAGTTTTAATGGAATAACGTAATTATTTACAGCGTTTTGTTTTTCGTTCGTTAGTAAATCTAATAGTAGCTAACAATATTATACCATAATATGTGTCATCCATACTATCTATACTAATATTATAAATGTGAAAGTGTGTTTGTTTGTTTGTTTGTTTGTTTGTTTGTTTGTTTGTTTGTTTGTTTGTTTGTTTGTTTGTCCTTCTTTCATGTCGAAACAGAGTGATAGATTGGCGTGATTTTGTTGTGTGGAGGGAGTTGGGCTGGAGAGTGACATAGGCTACTTTACCGCGGGAAATTATCTCATTTCCACGGGAAAACACTTACAATGCAAAAAATATTTATGATCAGAATTACTTGAAATTTGGTATTAATACTCTTCAATACAATTAAATAAATATGTATGTTTTATCGTGTTTCGAAATTCATTCCGAGGGTAAAATAGGGGATGAAAGTTTGTATGAAATCTACCTTTTTAGAGTTTTTTTGTAGTATTAGCGCGAGCGAAGCTGCGGGTTCTGCTAGTATGTATCATCATAAATTCTAATATTTTATTAGTAATACTTATCTTATGTGTAAAAACAAGTTATCATTTGTACCTTTACAATATTATAATATCTAAAATGACAAATAGCTAAAATATTACAAAGCTTCGTCATACACTATGAATGTTGAATATATTTCGATATTGAATAATAACAACACAAATAGTCGATCTTAAAAATTATGTACATATCCTATACCACAGGATTTAAAGTGTTTTTAAAATTGAATGGATAGAGATAGGATTTTTTAAAAATTAAAAAAAAAGTTTTTCGGATTTTAATAAATTCACGAAAAAATCCAATAAAATATTCGTGTAAATGTGTATGTGGAAAATATGTTTTATCTATTTAAAATTTGGTATTAACTCTACCCTAGAAAAGAAATAGTCAATTTAAAAAAAAAAGTTCTAGGGGGAGATCAAGTTGCCCCTAGAATCAATTACTAATGAAACAAATAATATATTATACGATTCTATTATATCTGTATTTTATTTATGTATATAATTAAAAATGAAAGGCTGTTCGTTGCTAAGATCATCACTTAAGAAACACTTTACATCACAACATCAAGAAGTGTTTGTAGGAGTCCGAATGAGAATTAAAAAAATGTTGCCCTTAAAATTGGAAAATTCGGGAAAACTTTATAGTGTATAAACCTAAAAAATCACGAACACTTTTGGACATGACAATATCTGTGAGACTAGTTTTTCGTATTTAACACTTGTCAAGGATGAGATGTAAACACATTGTTAGAATACTTTTAAATATTGTTTTGCATATATTATTACAACTTTTACTAGTATTTTACAGCGTTAAAGATTTGTGTAACGTGAAATAAACGACTATAATAGTAAGTACTTTGTGGGTTGTATTATAACGTGTTTTACCGCCCTCCCCAGCCCTCCAATTATCTCGACACAAAAAATAACCCCAATCCGTCACTCTGTTTTGACGTGAAAGAAGGACAAACAAACAATCACACTTTCATATTTGTAACATTAAGTATGCATATGGATTTGATATTCTATTACTAATATAACTAAGACCTACTCTTGGCTTCAATTTTTTTTAATTTGACACCAGAAATAATTGCTTGTCAAAACCTCTGTCTTTAACAGAACACTTACATGAAGGTATATTTAGAAACTGAATAATAACAATTAATAAAAGCAGTATATTATGAAAATCGGTTCTCGATCGGGGAACAAATCGCGTAACATGCGTAAAAGAAGAAATAAAACATCTAATAACATCCCTCCTTTCCCAGCCAGCTTTCATCCGCGTTTCCGTTTAATACCACTCTCGCCCATACATACGTTCATGCGCTAATGAAAGCGTCATTTAAATCGATTGAGCCATACCAGAGATGCAAACAGACAGACGACGTATGTGACGTAGGCAATTGTTTAATGTTGTTTTTGGCTTTAGTCTCGTTTAGTACTACTGCATCATATAACTAATAACTATATGTATAACTATAACTATTTGAAAAACACAGATAGTTTAGTTTTAGTGAGTGAATAACCAGTTAAATATATTTAATCTTACTTACATGCGTGTACATTTAAATAATATAATATGCACAAATAAACGGCACTTCGAAACGCGAACACCATGTTTGTATAAGGAAAATGTCAGTGAGGCAAGTTCTACACGAGTTTGTTCTCTCACGAACGGGTTCCGAGTGTTACTGTTAAGACTCTGACGCATATTATACTGTGTATATATTAACACTTTTTCTTGTTTACCATTGGTTGAATTGAATTGGTTAGGCCTTATGACAATTTGTGTCCAAAAATGGACATCGTAATATCTATATTTGTAAACATAAATACACACGTGATATTTAGGTTTTTTAATTGTAATAGATGAATATTATTTAAAAAAAACATGTTAATTGCCACCCTGCGCTAGCGTCTTGAGTATGCGTTTGTTGTTCTTTGTAATATTTTATACTAGCGACTCACCCTCGCTTCGCTTTAGTTTTGTCCCTAGGCAGAAACAAATCTATTCCACGGGGGCTGTAAATTTTTCCGGGATCATATACAGCCAATAGCCTTACTCAATAAACGGGTTATCTAATGCAAAGAGAATTTTCAAATCGTATAGTAGTTCCTGAGATTAGCGCGTTCAAACAAACAAACTCTGCTTCTTTATAATATTAGTATAGATTACTTGAATGTACCTTAGTCTAAAGGACCCTACGTTACTCTCTAGCCCATAAACCATTCTTGCAAAAAACTTTTGTCAATCCATTGTTGTATAAAGGAAGAATAAAGTAAGAAATAAAATTTAAATGAATGATATATGTATTAGTCAGGATCAGAGATTTCGTAATTTCGGAAATCATTACGAAAATGGGCGTTAGGGTATTTTTGCACTGGCTCCTTGATGAGCACATGGTATTATTATAATCTTTCTGAGAATCGATACATTCTTTACCGTTTCTAAACTAAATTGCCTGACGCTTTCTTTCATAAAAATTATTTTATTTTCGTGTGTTTGTCTGTAATACTAATCAACTTTTAACGTTAACATTCCTAAGCCATTTTAAATAAAACTATCTTTTCGGATTTTGTCGCGGATTTATTTGCATTTTTGTTTCCCGACGTTTCGAATGCTTTACAGCATCCATGGTCACGGGCTGTAAAGCATTCGAAACGTCGGGAAACAAATATGCAAATAAATCCGCGACAAAATCCGAAAAGATAGTTTTATTTAAAATGTCAAATATTCGCGTAAATCTAAGAAAGTATTCCTAAGCCATTTAGAAATGAGAGTTTAATTAGTAAATGTTATTCATACGATCACGTTTCGAACTCTATCATCACTGTGAAGGCTTTACTATTAGTCTAAATACAAAAAAATGTGTAATTATGTAGTATATAAGCAGTTCCATTGGGTCGCTTGTGTACATATATAATAATCCATACTAATATATAAATGCGAAAGTAACTCTATCTGTCTGTCTGTTACCTTTTCACGCTTAATCCGCTGAACCGATTTAGACGAAAGTTGGTATGGAGATAGTTTGAGACACTGGGAAGGACATAGGATAGTTTTTACCCCGAAAATCATCCCTTAAGGGGGTGAAAAGGTCGGTGAAAGTTGTAACTTACCATATCAGCTATTCTGTGGGGTTGCTTGTATACATATTTAATAATATAACTGTTTATATACCATAATATGAATATAATCATATTATGGTGTATGCGGGTTCTCTTGAGATTATTTAAACATATTGTAAAGTTGAAAAAAAAAATAATTAAGCAATTTACTACTAAATTAAAGCTACTAAATGTATTTAGAACTAGTGTCCTGAAGTGATAAATAATAAATATTTTAGGGACTTCTAACATACTTTTTTTTTAACGTTGGGAAATGCATTTACGCACGAGGTGTGGGACTCACCGGCAAAGCCAGTGCTACCCACTAAAACCCAACAAAGCCTTCCCCCGTCTTAATGGGGCGTCGCAGGATCGCTTACCCATTCAACTACGACGCCCCGACGGCAGGTCTGCCAAAGCAGACCACAACAACCACGGGGTTGCTCCAAGGTCCACTCTGCTATCAGAGAAGTACCAGGAGCAACCCGCATGGTACACCGCCCTCCGAAGAGGGCCACCTCCCACCGCCCACCGAAGTGGGCCACCTCCCTGTGCGTTTCTTGGCTTCGCGCCCGGTTGGGTTGCCGGGCACTACTGAGCCCCCCCACCACGACAAGGTGAACGCACGTTGTGGGGGACTTCTAACATACTTGGCCTAGCATTTGGTAATAAATTTAATGCTACATTTTTCTCTATGTGCTTTAAAAGCGCAAGAACGTAAAGTGCCAGAACTTATTACTTAACTAATAAAACAATCAGTATACATATAAATTATTTATTATAATATTTATTAAAATAGGATAAGGATAGTAGGAATCTGCAGACCTCAAAGTCACTTCAAAAGTTTTCATTGAAATTCAAACTCTACCCTTCAAGGTAAGCACGTTTTTATTATTTTGGTATTATAACCCATTAATAAAAATTTCACGACAATCTGTTTAAAATTAGCAAAAATTCCGTAACATACAAACTTAAAGAAAATTTGAGGACCAGATTTTTGAAGTCGGTTAAAAAATAACAAATTATGTGTTCTATATTTTATTTTATTTATGCTACTATTTTATTATACCCAATAGTGGTGAAACATGGTGTATAATACAAATAAACTTCTTTATTAGAAATACACGCGAATGATGAAATAATTATTAAGCTTAGACAGATTTTGCTATTTTAGGTAAAGCGTAAGTTTTCTACGCCTACATTTTATAGAGCAAAACTTTTTATAAGTAAAGTTTTCAGAGCTTTGTCTCGCTAAAACTCAAAAAAGACTGGACCCATTTGAATAGCTCTTTTTTTGTTTTGTTGGGGGTATGTCAGGGGTGGTTTAAGTATAAAAAAAAATAATATCAATAGAAAATAGTGTGGACTAATTTAAGCTACTTTTTTCTCAGCAAAGTGTTCTCGAAAGGATAATAGGTTTTTTCTGTTATTTTAACAATTTTTAATTTTTCGAATTCATTAAGAGATGGCGGTGTCCAAGAAATTAAGCATTGAAGAATAATTGAATGTGTTAATAAAATCTAAAGTCTCTGCGTAGAGTCGAGCCGTTGAGAAATTGCTTCCACCGGATCCAATACTAGATGGAGAAACAGTTCATACTTATCATAAAAATTGGTCGTCATTCGGAACCTAACCAATATATAAAATTTCAACTCTGTAGGATAAGAGAACGTGGTTCTAATTCGGCTTGCAAGATTGGACACTTACAAACATACCAACTAACAAACAAACAAACTCGCAAGAGTTGAACAAAAAAGTTTAAAAAAAAAGAAAAAGCTTGTAAAAAAGTTTGCTTGAGAGCGAAGCAGTAGAAATGGGCTAGTATACAATAATGTGACATAATACAAGGAAATTGCTCCTTATAAATGATAGATTTGGTAATATTTGTATATGTATGTAAAGTCCCAACAATTTTTATTAAAGACTCATCATCGATTAGCTAGGCTAACTGCTAAGTTGTTTATGAGTCAGGTGCTTAGAAAAGATGATATTTCACAATTGTTGTCGTTAAAATACAGCTGACGGTATAGTTATTGAAGGTATCATAAATATACCTTAAATTTAAAAAAATATTACTAATACTTTCTTAGGTTTAGGCACTGTCTGTAACAAGTGTATAACGCCTTCGAAACGTCTATAACCTTAGTCTCTCCCGTGACCATGATTGCTGTAAAGCATTCGAAACGCTGGGAAACCAAAAATCTAAATAAATCCGCGAAATAATCCGAAAAGATAGCTTTATTTAAAAGGTAACTAAAGTAACTAACCTTACTTACCTTTTTTTAAATGTAGATTAATGCATACTATCTGCATACGTACAGGTGGTTATGTGGTACTCACCAGTATTAACCACTAACGACGACCACCCTGCCCCGATGGCTGGTCTACCGAGGAAGACCAAGACTGTGAGGATGTCACTCCCACGTGAGCTTCCAGAGATACGCCACTTCTTCCCCCACTACGACAATGTGAACCTATAGGTTACCTTCTGTCGTAATATCGTTATTAAAAAACAAAAAATAAAATTATCTAATGAGGTTCTAATTTCAAGATTACATTAATTGTAATTATTTTAACTTTTTACATGTTTTCTTGATATTAATATTGCCCTTGAGAATTACATATATTTAAAAAAAAAAGAATCATTAAAACTGATTAAAATTGGCGAAAGAAAACATCACTTACACACAAAATATAAAACACTAACGACTGACCCTCAATTCGCTCGGGTTCGTCTCTAGCTACATTTTAACTGCTTGTATGGAATAAATAGCCGATCCCTTGTTTTGTGAAAATAAAAAACAAATCTATCCCACGGGAATCGTACATTCTACCGGGATAAAAAGTTACCTATGTGCTAAATCTGCATGAAATCTTTACCAAACATCCAGATCCGTTCAGCGGTTCTGGCGTGATTAAGTAACAAACATCCACCCATCCAAACTTTATCATTTGTAATTTTAGCGCGATCGAAGCCGCGTTCTGCTAGTAGTGTATATTTAGAGCTTAGACGAATATTATTATAGATATATAATTATAGATGAGTAATGCAGAGAAGTGTGGCACAACGTGTGAAAACCCGCGCTCGACAACGTTGGCGGTTGGAAAATATCTAATTGTTTGTTACGCATTAATTGAATGTCTTGAGCGGGATTGAGTTGGCATGCAATAGATATATATTTTTCGATAAATTAAATAAGTCAAGTGAGATAACGTTTTTACGTTAGTTTTTTTTCCTGACTGCGCCAGAAGGAGGGCTATGTTTTTCGAGTTGATGTATGTGTGTATGTTTGTATGTATATTTCTTTAAAACGCTCTGTAGCCTGAACGGCTTGATGGATTTTAGCTTGAGGGATGTCGTTAGATTTGTTTTAATTGTGAGAGTGACACTGGGTATGTATATCAAAATTATAAAAACTAAAATGCCCGATTTTTGGCGACATATTATGTTTTCAAAAGTTTTTTTCCCCCTAACCTATTGAGTAGGGTATCAAAATAAAGGGTTTTAT